TAGGTATAGACCTCGCGGCTCCTTTGAGTGACGTCATATATATACGATATAATAATATTATCATACAGTGTATTTACAATAGGTATAGTTACTATTATGGTCCACTGCCTCCAGTCATTAGTCTTGTTTATAGCTACTATTGGCAGTAGCTCTGACCTGATCTACTATTTGGTTTTACTTCTCCTCTTATCAGGAGATGTTGAACTCAATCCTGGTCCTATGATTGATGATCAACCTGATATTTTATTATTAACTCAATGGCTCGAACCACTTGTTGACTGGAAACCATTTGGTCTTGGTTTACCAGGAATTACTTATTCTGACATTTCAAAGATTGAAGCTGAAATTGTGACAATTGATGAACGAAAGTTAGTATTGTGCTCAAAATGGTTAAATATAGCATCCAATGCAACATGGGCTGATGTGATTAATGCACTGAGCAAAAGAAGAGAAAACAAACTTGTTCAAGACATTAGAAGAAACTTACAAAAAGGTACACCAAAATCAGCTAGAAGTTATGCTGCTGTCACTACCAGACCACCATCACAGGCAGAAGTAATGTTTGAAACAGCAGAAGATGAAAAGGAGATATTAGATACATTAATTGGTCTTAATAAAGAATTTTCCAGTTTAATGATGCATGTACGGCTAGGTCTTGATGAGAAGATTGAGAAGGATCCAAAGATATTACGTAAACTTACCATATGGTTGGAGACTTACATGCATTGGAATGATAAACTAACAAATGCATCATTAGATGAAACTTTCAAAATTATCCATCCATTTTTTGATTTTATTGACTGTAGTCTCATAGTAGACATGGGTGAAGTCTTTCTACGAAATTTGATATTTAGTGATGATGGGTGGAGTATTGTTAATGAACTTAAAAATTACAAGGAAAAAGCTGACAAACTTCGTTTTTCAGTTCAAGTAAAGCATCTTAATGAATCATTAAAAACAATATATAAAGAACATATACCAGATACATCAAATATGCCAATGATTTCAATGAAGCTTCATAGTCAATGGCATGGTAGCAACATCAATGGACTCTCTCTACTGATCCACAACCTACTTCCTTTTGGACACCAGCAGTCAATAATGAAATACATTATGATATCTTCTGGATCTGTTATCATCAAATATTCTGTGTATGGCTCTAAAGCTGACAGTCTAATAGAATGTATTGGAGGAAAGTTACAGTTTATGCGTCTCATTGGCATATTTAGTTTATACATTAATGATCATCCTGTCCTTCAAGAAGATGAGAATATGAACTTCACCTTTGAACTAGCTCTCCTTGAGGCAGTCACAGCTGGTAATAATGAAGCAGTAGAGTTTCTTCTTCAACTAGAAACTGTTAATGTTGATCATACTAATGAAGTAGGCAAGACAGCACTAATGTTAGCTTGTGAAAGAGGACATGAGGACATTGTACACAGTTTACTGTCTGCTGGAGCTAATGTTAACATTCAGGACAATAAAGGATGGACTGCACTAATGATAGCAAGTAAATATAATCACATTTCAATCATTCACATGTTACTAGAAGCTAATGCTAATCCTCACCTGAAGACATCAATAGGATCAAATGCTGTAATGATTGCTAGTTATGATGGTAACTATGAAGCTGTTGAGCTATTGATTAGTAAAGGAGTTGATTATAAATATCAACAAAAAGATGGAGCAAATGCTTTAATGGCGGCTTGCCAAAATGGTCACACTCAAGTAGTTAAATTATTGCTAAAGGAACAAGTTGATCCTAATGTTCAAAATAATGATGGAGTGAATGCTTTTATGATGGCTTGTGAAAATGGTCACATTAAAATAGTTAATTTGTTGCTTCAAATAAAAGATCAAGAAAATGCTTTATTTTTGGCCTGTCAAAGTGGTCAAACTAAAATAGTGGAACTGTTGCTGAAATATCGACTGGGTTTAAATTTTCAAGGCAGAAGTGGTTTCTATCTTTTTATGATAGCATGTAAAAATGGCCACACTCAAATAGTTAAACTGTTGCTGAAGAAACAAGTTAATCCTAATGTTCAAAATAGTGATGGAGTGAATGCTTTTATGATAGCATGTCAAAATGGTCACACTCAAATAGTTGAACTATTGCTGAAGGAACAAATTGATCCTAATGTTCAAAATATATATGGAGTGAATGCTTTTATGATAGCATGTCAAAATGGTCACACTCAAATAGTTAAACTGTTGCTAAAGGAACAAGTTGATCCTAATGTTCAAAATATATATGGAGTGAATGCTTTTATGTTAGCTTGTGAAGATGGTCACACTCAAATAGTTGAACTGCTACTGAATGAACAAGTTGATCCTAATGTTCCAAATAATGATGGAATAAATGCTTTTATGTTGGCTTGTCAGAATGGCCACATTCAAATAGTTGAACTGTTGCTGAAGGAACAAGTTGATCCTGATGTTCAGAACACAAATGGAGTCAACGCTTTTATGCTGGCTTATCAAAATGGCCACATTCAAATAGTTGAACTGTTGCTGAAGGAACAAGTTGATCCTAATGTTCAAAATAATAATGGATTGAATGCTTTTATTAGTTTTATGTCAGCTTGTGAGAATGGTCTCACTCAAATAGTTGAACTGTTGCTGAATAAACAAGTTAATCCTAATGTTAAAAACAAAGATGAAGTGACTGCTTTTATGTTGGCTTGTCAAAATAGTCACATTCAAGTTGTTGAGCTTTTGCTGAAGGAACAAGTTAATCCTAATGTTCAAAATAGTGATGGAGTGAATGCTTTTATGATAGCATGTCAAAATGGCCACATTCAAATAGTTGAACTGTTGCTGAAGGAACAAGTTAATCCTAATGTTCAAAATAATAATGGAGTGAATGCTTTTATGTTAGCTTGTCAAAACGGCCACACTCAAATTGTTGAACTATTACTGAAGGAACAAGTTAATCTTAATGTTCAAGACAAAAGTGGTTGGAATGCTTTTATGTTGGCTTGTCAAAATAGTCACATTCAAGTTGTTGAGCTTTTGCTGAAGAAAGAAGTTGATCCTAATGTTCAAAATAAGGATGGAATGAATGCTTTTATGTTGGCTTGTGAAAATGGTCACACTCAAATTGTTGAACTGTTACTGAAGGAACAAGTTAATCTTAATGTTCAAGTCAGAAATGGTTGGAATGCTTTTATGTTGGCTTGTGAAAATGGTCACATTCAAGTAGTTGAACTGTTACTGAAGGAACAAGTTAATCTTAAAGTTCAAGACAGAAGTGGTTGGAATGCTTTTATGTTGGCTTGTCAAAATGGTCACACTAAAATTGTTGAGCTGTTGCTGAAAGAACAAGTTGATCCTAATGTTCAAAATAACAATGGAATGAATGCTTTTATTGCAGCATGTGATAATGGTCACACTCAAATAGTAGAACTGTTGCTGAAGAAACAAGTTAATCATAATGTTGAAAATAATGATGGAGTCACTGCTTTTATGATAGCATGTCACAATGGCCACACTCAAATAGTTGAACTGTTGCTGAAAGAACAAGTTGATCCTAATGTTCAAAATAACAATGGAGTGAATGCTTTTATGGCAGCATGTTACAATGGTCAAACTCAAATCGTTGAACTGTTGCTGAAAAGGAAAGTTGATTTTAATGTTCAAGACAGAAATGGTTGGACTGCTTTCATGTTGGCTTGTCAAAATGGTCACACTAAAATAGTTGAACTGTTGCTAAAAGAACAAGTTGATCCTAATGTTCAAGATGGGAATGGTTGGAATGCTTTTATGTTGGCTTGTCAAAATGGTCACACTAAAATAGTTGAACTGTTGCTGAAAGAACAAGTTGATTCTAATGTTCAAGACAGAAATGGTTGGAATGCTTTAACTTTGGCATTTTCTAATGGTCACACTCAAATACTTAAACTGTTATTGCCGAAGGAACAAGTTAATCCTCAAATAGTGAAACTGTTGCTACAAGTTAA